TCACTGGGAACTGGCCATTTTTAGCACTTTGCTTTTATACAGAAGTATGTCACTGAGGGCAGATGTGATACTTCAACATAATGTGATTTCGCATACAATGCAATAACGAACCATATCATGGTGTTTTCTGGGCTTCCTACATTTGACAGGATAATCACTCTCTGAAGCCCATTGAATCAGAGAGGAAATGACTTTATTCTGGCTGAACAGTGTAGCTTAGATTAAAACAAAATTAGCAAATAAATTTAAAACGAAGTAGTTACCCAATAGATTTTCAAAGCTGTTACATATTCAGGCTCAGTCGTAGATGGCCGTGGCGGAGACTTCTAACACACATCAAATTTTCATGTGCTTCTCTAATTTCTCTGTCTTCTTTGCTGTCAAACTTCGGCCATCTGCCCAGTGCTGACAACAGTTATGCGCTGCTTCTAAGTTAAGGCATTTAAGAATCACAGTGTGACCTCCACTCCTTTCATCTCCAACGCTGGTAACTTTGGAGGACAAGAGCTTCAAATACCACGGGTATGAGATGCAGAAGGGACATTCACATGGGGCTTTCCGTGAATGGGAAGCAGGCACTCAAGGTGTTCATCCTCTGAGATTTGAGGGGTTCATCTATTGTGGCTACTCTTAAAGACTGGTAGTATCATCCTCCTCTGAAAACTTGTTAGAATCTCTTTCTCTGTCAAGAAATACTGACCAGAATTTACATTTAACCAAAAGTTCTAGGTGATTTATTAATTTCAAAAGCTCTTATTATAAGTTATGCAATTTTTGCAATTCTAGTAACTTGGAATGCTGTTAGTAATATTCAGAGAATTACATACCTGATTCAGTAGGAAAGGCAATAGGTTAGGTTTTTTTAAGAAAGCAGAAGCTGTGCATGGTGACACAAGCTTATAATTCCAGCACTCAGAAGGCTGAGGCAGGAGGATTGCAGTGAGTTCAAGGCCAGCCTGGGCTACAAAGAGAGCTCAAGGCCACCCTGAACTGCATAGCAAGACCCAGTCTCAAAAAGACCCCCAAAAAGCAAAGATCTAAGACTTAGTAGGTCTCAGATCTGAGAATCTCTGGAGGTAAGCCTAAGAATCTCTATTAAAAGTTCCTGTAGTCTCTGATAATCAGCTAAGTTTAAAACTGTCAGTTCTATTAGGAATACAGATAAATACATGCTGTTAACTTCAATTTTGATATTTTAGAATAGTTATGAATTTTATAAATCTTCAAAGTTTAGTGGATATGAGGAGTTCCTAGTGCTTGTATGGCAAGCTGATGGAATTAGTATTTCTTGTCACATGCTATTGATTGTGCAAAGCAAAAAGACTATTTTTCTTAGCCTCAGAAACTTGGGGAATGGAGCAGCTGAGCAGGGGGAGGGCTGCAGAATGCCTTGCAGAATGATTTGCGCTGCCTTCCCCAAGGAACTGGTTTGCCTCAGCCCTTCCCAGGCTAAACGTGCCTCCGTGGGTTAAAAAGACCCAGCAGCTGTCTTCATTCAGCAGCTTCCTTATCTGATGAAGCAGCTCCGTGTTCCCTGGTTCACCGCTATCAATACACTGGTTTATCCCTTCTGCATTTCTGTTTGTCTTCTTTATGGGTCAAAATCACATTTAAAAAGAAACGTTATAATCTAGAAGGTTCATTACCAATGAATTAGAGAAAACCTGGCTTATTCAGCAACAACCTAAGGCCCCTCTTAAAGTCTCTCATTGGGATAGCTTCTGCTTAGCATCTAATTTGCCAAAAATTCCCCCCTTTTAACTAGCTCAGCAACTTTCACTGCCTCTTGGACCCCTCTTGGCTCCCCAGCTTTGTCTCTGAATGCTCCTTAAACATATAGTGAAAGAGGAACATCCTTTAACATGTTAAACATGCATTCACATAGTCATTTTCTCTTCCAGCAAGAATTCTAAATTATGAAAAAATAAATCCGACGTTTTAATAATGGGATTAGTCAGTATCTCTAGTGGCAAGTGCAGATGAGCACACATTTGCCCGCTGGAGGATTCCAGCTGTGTTTTGAACAGAATGTGGCCGCCGATGTCTTAAAAGTCAACAGCTACTGAAGAAATATGTATGTCAAGGACTTAAGAACGAGGAATGTGGCTAGAGGGAGGAAGCGAGCAGAAGTCACGGGGGCGGTAAGAAGCTGGGACCCAGAAAAAGAGGAGGGGATAGAAAGGTGAGAGGTAGCTGGTGGCCATGAGCAGATCCTGGAAAGAAGGACTGCGAAGAAGGGATATTGGAAGCAAGGCTGCTGTTTTTCACGGCTTAAGCAGCAAATCCATCAGAAGAAAAAGCAAAATGAAATTCCAAATCCTTCCATGTTTGTCAGTATCCATAAGAGTAGACATATGAGAGCAAGTTGGATTGAAGATGAATAAAAATGCATTTCAGCTGAAACTACTGGTTAATAATTGGTTAGTATGTCTGTGCCATGGTGCCATTGTTAACAGGCTTATATGTAGATATATCAAATAATCATTTGTTCCTACTACACAGGGTAGTCATAATGGTTGAATGTGTGAAATATCTAACGAAGACAGAGTTGTTAAGTAATGCTCCATTTTTTAAATGTCTCCACAAAGTGTAGTTCTCTGTAGGCTGAGTCTCTGTCTTCTGACTTCTTTCTTTCTTTCTTTCTTTCTTTCTTTCTTTCTTTCTTTCTTTCTTTCTTTCTT